ATAATCGGCATTGCCGGCCAATATTAAAGAGGGATAATCTTTTCCAGCAGTCATTATCATCGTTTGGTAACACAATACTTGCCCGCTTCGCTGATGCACGATGCGCTTACACGCCATTCGCACGAAATTTAAAAATAAAAAAGAACCCATAGTGAATGAAGGTGGGGGTGGGGGGTGGGGGGAGGGGGGAGTGGAAGGGGGAGAGAGAAAGAAAAAAGAAGAAGAAGATGAAAAAACCCGTGACTACTGCCGGAACGCCCAGTCATCGATTGCACTGGCGTGTGCACACGCATGGCCCCCTCATTTTTCTCCCGATAAACTCCCTCCCCTCACCGCTGCCCCGCCTTATTTTACCTATATAAAGTGTAAACACTCTTTAATTACTCTGGACACGGGCTTCTATTCTCGACTTTATCTCGGCAAGGTATATCGTACGAACGAAGACGCACTCGACGAGGCGGTTATGTCGCGCACCCGCATACCCGGCATCGACATAAAGGAAGCGAGATCGAGAATAGCGATAAACTCCGAAAATCTGCCGGCGATTGCTCTTCGACGCGCTCATGTAATTCTTGAGGCGATGAGCGCAATCGTGTAAGCAAGCGCCTTCGCCCGGGGTAATTGAACCGCTTACGCGAAATACCTGCGATATGCAGCGAAATATTGTGTTTCGATAACTTTCGCTCCAAGCACTTCAGGGAGCATTGGACTCTAGCGCAATACATTCCTCTGCATCGTATTGCATGTACACACGCGCGCGCGCGTATTTATATATATATATATATATATATATATATATATATATATAGTCTCAGGGATGCGTGTGTATGTACAACACTAAGTCGTACGAGCATTTAGTACCAAAACAATAACATTAGAGTCCATAACGACCAAGTGCCATAATATTGTATTGTAATTATTATCCAACGCGACCTTAATATTACTATTGTTGTTATTGTTATTATTTTTATTGTATTAGGTAGCAAACTGCGTGAAACATTCGGGAGAACAAATTAATCTATTTTATATGTGATAAGAGAAAAGGAAAATATTCGTCAAATGTAGGAGAGTATATTTATTTTCATTTACTGATATGCGTTAGTCAGGGGGCGTTGTAAAGTAAATTCTACACGTACAATTTAAGTGATCTTTTCAGAACACATAGGGACTCTTAAAAAAGGTAGCTCTGCGGAAACTCTTGAAGAAATTTACGTTTCTCCTGCTTTCTGTTAAATACCTGTTTTTTTTTTTTTTTTTTTTTTTTTTTTTTTTTTTTTACTTTTATCGAATTGGCACTTATCCCCTCTTATATTATTAAACGTATCTTTCGAAAACGCGCACATACATGTATAAAAGGAAGAAGAAGAACATGATGATAATGATGATGACGATGAAGACGAAAAACGGAAAAGAATTAAAAGAAATTAAAATGTTGCGGAATAACTAAAATCTAAAAGTCAAGGGTTGTAAAAAATTCTCGGTTAGAAAGTGTAATTATGGCGCGTTATGTATTATTGAAGAGTGTCGTTAATTTATCGACATGACGGGCATAAAATTAAAATAAATTTCATAATGTAGAGTTCAATTTTTGAATTTCAACGAACTTTTATTGTTGTGGTAAAGTGCTTTGTTTACTTTAAACCGTCAGCTCCGAAACAACGACGTGACTTTAAAATGTTACAAAAAGCATGTGTGCAAGATGAGCGAATCCTTTTTCTCCATTTGGAAGTGCGAAGCGAAATGGTCTTAAGACAACAAATTATTTCAAGTTACTACTCACCATAACCAAGGAGTGCGTCAGAGCAGTCGATGACCTCGACCTCCTAGGCGTCATGCCGACGTTTTCGCCCCTCATGATGCTCTCGACGACTGTGACGGAAAAGAAAAGAAAAAAAAACATGAAGAAAAGTAAATCAACGGGAAGCTAAAGAATTATTTATTCACTTAATAATACGTATTTTCGGTCTATAATCTAGGCGCTTTATTAAAAAGTGCATATTTAAAAGATTATTCCGGTCAAAATGAATATTGTTTATTGGGCAACGAAAGTAAATTGCTCGGTTATTACATTATGAATGATTAAGTGAAATTTCGTACATTCACGTTACTATTCCATTATCTCTCTTATTTTTATATCGTTGAAAATTATTTGGGATTCTTTGGGGTTTTTTTTTTTTTTTTTTTTTTTTTTTTTTTTTTTTTTTTTAAATTAACTTAACGAGCGCAAATGAATATGACAGAAATAAAAGAGAAAGCCAATAAACAAGTATACGCTCAATTATAAGGACATACAGCACTCTCGGATGTCACTACTATTTAAAACTGTGAGAGCAATCTAGACGATGACGATCGATCGTTACGAGCGTATTTTAACAATTACATCGGATCAAGCTCCACGACATTAATAATAAAGATAATATAGATCTCACAAGGCTGATCTTCTCACGTGCAAATAATTGCAAAGTTACGCGCACGTTAGATCGGTCGATCAGAGCCTAATAATTGCCCAATCGAACGCAACTTTACTCGCGATAATCCAAATTGTGACTTACCTCCGTCGCCGATTAGCCGCATCTGCACTAGGCACGGATCCTCATTGTGGTCCTCGAGGACAGTGTCGTCCGTCACCGTCAAATCCTGCAATCAGAAGTAAAGTCGAGCGTCTTAGTCTCGTGGCTTCTATTTTTGGAGGAGCATTTTTGCCGAATTCGTCGCGAGCGCCCCCCCCCACCCCCGCGACGGATTCCTCGTTAGTCTCTCATTCGAGCCATGTCATGTCCCCTTTGAATTAGGGCGAAGATCTCTTTTAGATCAAAGGGCCTTTAGAAAATTCACGGATATCTTGTAACAACAGATTTTGGTGAGTTAAATAAGTGTTAACCAAGTGTAATGTAGCAGCACGTGTGAAAATTCTCGTAATTCGCGTCGTCAAATTAGAAACATTCAGCATGTGCTTGACATACGGAATTTGAAGATATTTGTTGATGACGTTTGACTGAGCTTTATTATTTAATAACAACTTATCTATCTATTCGATAATAGTAATAAGTTGAAAGGCGTTGAGCATTTTTATATGCGAGCTGGTTAAATAAATACTGGAGACTCTATGGACTCGTTTAAAGGGCCGAACGTATGAAATTTCTTCCTTCAAAAGTACAATTATCTCGGTATACAGGATTTACAATTGATTTAAAATTGTCAAAATTGCCATTGCTTCGCTGCACCGCTTTCCACCGGATCTTACAATAGCCATACATAGACATACGAATAATTTCTCATGAGCTAGGAAATCATGTAAACCGAACACAGCATCGAAGAAAAATTCCTTTTAACGAGATGCAAGATTCGATAAATTCCCATACGTTCGAGCATACAAACAAATCAATATCGTATAACATGACACGATGTCGCAAATAATGTGCCAAATGATTAATTATATTCTAATAAGATGTGCTTTTGAAATAATAAATATCCATTACTGCCAATAAACATCGAGCTTTATAATACTTGGAGATATAATATTGGGAAACAAAGTAAGTTCAATAATATGAACATGCTTGCGAGTAAATTTTGCAGGTACGAAAAACTATTAAAACAAATTTTTAGACGAGTTCAATCATTTTCCTATTTCGAATGATTAATGGAGCCTGATAATAATAATGCTTTGCGTACCGATTAGTGACTCATTTAACATTAAAAAAAAAAAAAAAAAAAAAAAAAAAAAAAAAAAAATTCCAATTATAATTAAAAATAAAAAAAAATTTACAGTATTAAAACGTACGATCTTCAATGTTACACAAGTTGAATTATTTTTAACGGTATTCAATAATTGAAATTTTTCTTTCACCAATTCATGAATACGAATATTTACATATTAACCCAAAGAAAAGAATTAAATGAAATATTTGGAAAAAAAAGCATGGATGAAGATAGATTTTATTAATCAATAGTTTTTTTTTTTTTTTCGGCTCGCATAGTTACGTAAACTTCCTCAACTGCGTAAACAATTTCTTACAATTGAAATATAATAAACGTTCATTTATCGCATTTGATTTGTTAAATGAAACTAGAAAAATATTTTCATTGCCTAATTATTATTTGCAAAAATTTAATTTACCATTTATCATTGAATATATACATCATTATATAATTGATATAAAAAATATTAAATAAAAAATCAATATAATAGAAATTCAAATACCGAAACAAACGAATGTGTAATTCACTTTTTTCAAGTATCTCCAAGTATTTAGCATTAATCACAGTTTTACATTATTTAATATAAGTACACTTCTCATCTAATGCCATTTATTCAAAAGCTGATATATCTTATTTGATTAATATCACAATGAATTGCGTTTGTTAATACTTGAAATGATAAAGTTGATGATTACAATTTATCAAAAGTTTTTCTTAAATCATCCTTAAATGATAACACACATGTTAGGTACATATAGAATGTAAATGGATATCATCATCATCATCATCATCATCATCATCATCATTATTATTATTATTATATCTAGCACTATATAGTTGGATAATTAACAGTAAAAGATAATTATTTATAGAAAAGGTTATCGATTGATTGTTAACGATTTCTGTCTACGACGTCGTTTCTCTCTCTCTCTCTCTCTCTCTCTCTCTCTCTCTCTCTCTCACTCTCACTCTTTTTTTCTTTCTTTCTTTTCATACTACACAATCATTTAATATAATAAGGTGGATTTTTTGTTTGTTTGTTTTAATTACCAGCAAATCTGCTCTACTATTTACATAATACAAATATTAATGGTTTTAAACAAATATACTGTTAACTGATCTACTACGCGTAATGGCATTTTTATAAAAAAATTTCAATCTTTGTATTTTAATCTTCAAACTAGATATTCTAAGTAGTCGGTAATTAAGTGAGCAGTTAGACTTTATATTTAAAATTTCAAGATTAACGGAAGACATTTTTTTAGCGAGTATTCGACTATCCTCGAATTCATTTACATTCATCGCCATAATTAATACTGAAACAAAGAATCATTGAAGATTTTTCAATACTTCCAATGCTCAAAGTGAGTTCATTTTATTTGCAATATAAACGGGTAAATAATAATATCACAATAGTACAATCACAATAATAGAAAGTTCGTTATTTATGTAATGATAAAATTGTTGATATTAAAATAATTTTTGTGTAACATTTTTTACTATTATTTTAATTAATAATAAATTTTCTACGTTTGTTATTCTGATATCTATGTTATATTTAAAAATAAAACTTTTAAAGTACTTTCAATTGGTTTTTCGATAATAATTCTTGTATTAATAATTCGAGCAAATAGTCTTGATGAATATATCAGTTTTTATTTTTCCATGTCAATATTTGTAATTAAGGTAAGTATAAAAGTAGCATTTTTCATTTTTCCGCCCGATGGTGGAATTTCATTAAAGTTCATTAGTTAAAGGTTTTATGTACTTTTCATGTGTAATGAAAACACGAGTAATAAACAAAAAACAAAGGGAAAAAAAAGGCCAAAAAAAGAAGAAAGAAAGAAAAAAAAACAAAATAGAAAGAAAGAAAGAATGAAAACCAGTAAGACGAGTCATAATTTAATGATAGTTTGGAAAAATATTATTTTTGCAATTCCCACAATATTATTAATGGTTAATTTGATGAAATCTAGTCAATAACAGCAATTCATTTACCAAAGAGTTCATTAGGCTCTTATCGTAAATAATTGTTAATGGCCAGTGATGTATTTATAAAATTGTTGAGCTCAATAAATCGCTAGTAATGGCCAATGTCTATTAAATACTACGAGCTCAAACAAGTAAAACTATTACGCGATTGCAGCTCGAGCCTCGAATATTGTTCTTACAAAATTGTCCATTAATTGTAAAATGCCGTATCAATGAGCCACAATCGTAAATTGCACTTCAACGTTGAGCGTTGCGCGCGTGTCGAGGGACGGGAGGATGGTGGTGGTGGTGGTGGTGGTGGTGGTGGTGGTGGTGGTGGTGGTGGTGGTGGTGGAAGAATTCCATAAAGCGCGGGAAAAGCATTTCGAATCGGTATGACGACGATTAATTAGCCCTGGCCGTGAAGGCGTAGAAATTAAAATCGTTAAAAAGATGGCAAGAGAAACGGAATGAATTACAAGTATCGCATGTTTTCTCATGAGCAGAGGCACGTGGACAGAAAGTGGAAGGCCGTGGCGCAGGTTATACTTAGAACTCGGTATTAGTGCGCAAGCCTGGTCGAGCTAATTTATGTACATTGTACATACATTGCTTGCATGTGATGTAAACGCCTCGATACACAAGCGCGGGAAATTCACATGACAGCCTTGAGATTTTCAGAAGCCGCCTTATTAATGGAGTTCTTTTTGTAGTTTGCCAACGGCTCGTTTCACTAACGAAGTTGTATTTAATTGCTTATAAAACATTATCACTTTAATAATGCATAGGCTTTGGGTTTTTGCCCATTTTAGAAATGTTCTTGATTTGTATAAAGCGAAATGGGTGATTATTATAATGATTAACGGCATTATATGTACCAAATTTGGCAAAATGATTACATTTCCAATGATTTCCAATAAAACTATTGAAGTACTTACTTCGACGAACGTGTGCGCGCTCATGGCCAGCCACGCTTGAATTACGGAAGTGCATTATTTGTCAATTTTCAAAAAGCTTGCGTACGAAGCATTGGAAAAATTTGATAAAATCGATATTTTAAGAGCGTATAAGGAGAGTGAGAGTGAGAGAGACGTAAAAAAAAAAAAAAAAAAAAAAAAAAAATTTCTGACTATTAGAAAAAATAATATGAATCAAATGACATTGGTAGCATTTATCAATTGTGTAATTAACATTCTAAACATTTTTCTTTTTCTTTTAATATCCATAGCAATGATAATAATAAATAATAAAAAATAATAATAAATAATAAAAAATAATAATAAATAATAAATAATAAATAATAAATAATAATAATAAATAATAAATAATAAAGAATAAATAATAAATAATAAATAATAATAATCAGATTTAATATGACGGTGAATTGAATTGAAAGAGAAATCTTCCAAATGGAGAAACACAATTCCCGCACGATTTTAAATTATATTTAGCAAGATGTAACAATATGGTTTTTACTGGTTACGAGATTCTCAACTAAAATTTATCGGATCGTAATCGAGCGAAGACAGCTTATCAGGTTCATGTCACAAGTGTTAGCTGAATTTTTCGAACGTATTTTAGTGAAGCGAGAGATAAAAATTTTTTAATAAAAAAATTATACGAAAAAGATGTCGTATCGGTATGACATTGCTAGTATCGCTATAAACAATATTAATAAAATTAATATATTCAAGTGTATTACCATTCGTTTTAATATGCGAAATACTTCTCTTATCATACAACGGTAAACGTCTGTAAGAATTTATATATTTAATCTATTTTCTAAAAACATAAATCACTCTTAAAACTTGACGAAAAAGTATAATAAATAGCGACCTTCAAAATATCTTTCACAATGTTGAAGAAAAAAAAGAAGAAGAAAAATTAATAACCTCACTTAGGTGAATAATAAAAATATATTTGTGCATACAATTTAAACATTCATTAATGTTCATTATTACAATGGAGAGAATATATGTAAATTCTTTTGCTCCTAGTGTTCCGTTTGCGCTCGTATAAATAAATTTTAAAATACTTCATATTCAAACGTGGACATATTTTCGTTTCTTAAATGAAAAAATAAAGAGCACGATTTTTAGCAGCACGTGTCCATTACGATATCAGAATATCCGAAAAGTACTTTCGATAACTTTAACAGTACAATAAAAGAACTTTTATTTCCAATACTATTCTTTCTTAAGAGTAACTGGGTTTTTTTTTTTTTTTTTTTTTTCTACCATATAAATAATATCTCTATAATTTTCTGGCTGTCTAATGCAATGTGATGCCTTAAAATGTATAATGAAATAAACAATTTTGACTTTAAAATGATGGAATTACTTTAATCTTAATTGACTAAATTAGATAAATAAGATAAATGCGACATTTACTTATGCACAGCAATGACAAGCAATGACAAGCAATGACAAGCAATGACAAGCAATGACAAGCAACGACAAGCAATGACAAGCAATGACGAGCAATGACAATAGACTGTGTTGTGTCTTTTTGTCTTTTCAAACAATTCATCGATTCACTATTGAAATTTTCTTAAAGAATATTGCGATCGAGCAAGAAAATTATATATAGAAAGCATATCTTATGCAAAAAGCCACAGAGTGCTCAAGTAAGCGTAAGATATCTTCTAGCAATAGCATCGAGTGTCAGAGATAATCAGAGAAAATCAGAGAAAATCAGAGAAAATCAGAGAAAATCAGAGAAAATCTAGACACGAAGCTCATTTGATAGATTTAAAAATGTAATTTTTTTTATTAAAATGTATCAATATGTATAAAATACATGATTTATTTAACTAGTAGCAAAAGAAAAACGAAAAAAAAAGGAAAAAACATATATATATATAATTTTTATTAATACGAGTTAATTGATCGAGAAATTAAGTTCGAATTCCTCTTCGATGGGCGATAAAATAAGTATGGAACAAGTTTCGAAGAGTTGAAATATTCTCGAATGTCAAAATGGGATGTAAAGTGCGGAAGTCAACTGTGAAGAAGAGTTTAAAGAGCCTTGGAGGAAAAGGCTTAACATAACTCCACCGAACGAGGATCTTGAATGTGCTAAGAGAAATAGGTTGGATATTATTTACAACATTTTTACTTCGTCATTGGCTAGAAAAAGCTGCTGGAGATGCGGGTTTTATGAAGATTTTAGAATTTGATATTCTCACGCTTTGAGGTTCGGTGCCCTTCAGCGGATATAATTCTAAATGGCAGTGCTACAGTTATAACAACCACGACAAGAAAGCAAATTGGATAATAAAACGCCTAATTTATTCAGCAACAAATAGTTAGGTACAATGCGATGAAATCTTCCACGTCGAGAATATGTTTCTATTTTTATAAAAATTACGGCATAAGAGAAATGCGAACGTTGAATGGAAAATTCATAACAATGATCGCTATTAGTTCTATATATATATATATATATATATATATATATATATATATATATCGCTAGAAATAGTTAAAAAAAAAAAAAAAAATCGTAATTCACGGTCAAATTAATATTTTCACCTGTCCAGCAATCAACCAACGGGCAACAGCATTACTCGAGCATTTGATTAAACGCTTTAATTAATTAGAATTACATTTTCATGCAAGTACTTTGAGGGAAACGGTGCGCGGCTTAATGGGCCGGGATATTCCAATTGCGAGAAGAAAACTTGCACGGCAAAAAATACGAAAGAAAACGCGATACGAGGATATAAGAGAAACGAACGGAATAAATGGGAAAAGCGTTAAATTCTTATGCCCGAATAATCGAGGAGAGATCTCGGTCGTCCGTCGTTTCATTCGACTTGCGAGAACTTGGAAATAAAAATCCTCGACTCTCATCTGGTTGATCGTTAAATGCGAAAATGCTCGTTATAATCAATGGTGGTTGTTTGGTGGTGGTGGTGGTGGTGGTGGTGGTGGTGGTGCTGATGGTGGTGGTGGTGGCGGTGGTGTTGGTACATATAACGCACGTGAAATATCCTCAGTGGCCTTTATCGGCCACTTTAGAATTGCAGAGTGGCAGTCGGTTGGAACGGGAAAAGAAGGACGAAATAATAAAGGAAAGCCGAGCTCCGGCCGACCGCGAGAGGATGAGCGCAGGTATACAGTAATCTTACCTTCGTAGATTCGTTGTATCCGACGATGACGGCCGTGTACCACTGGGTAGTACCCTCGGCCCGATAGACTTCGACCCTGAAGCCCACGAGGACACTCGGCGTCGTCAAAAGAATGCTCTGGCCGTCCTGCATCTCGGCCCATTGCCTGACTGCGCTCGCCCATGACGACGAGCCCTTCGTCATCTCCCAATCTTGCTGCAATGTAAAGCAAAGAATATTGAATAATTGTAAATTTTATCATTATAGCTATCATTATCGCAACTTCCCAGTTGAATGTAATTTCGGGATACGGTTATTAATGTTCGAACGAGCGTTGATGAATATTTGTCCGTTTAATTGGCGAGTGATGGACGCGCGGTAATGTATCGAAGAACGAGGATCGATTACTCTGCCATTGGGTAAATGTCACTGGGAATAAGCATTAGAAACATAATTTGGCAATTTCAATTCAAAAGCCCAAGAAGTTCGTAAAGTCGAAAATTAAGACTTTGGCGCGGTGAAATTCCCAACTCGGATTAATTATCATTTTCACGTAAAAATAAATACCCTGGAAGTTATTTTAATCTTGGATTATTATTAAACGATAGCTCGTAAAGTTGTTAGCTAATGGTAATGGAATTTGGTGTCGTGTCGTCATGATCGGTGGTGATGGCTCGAACTCGATACGAAAATCCTAACGAATTGTCCATTCGGCTATTTCTTCATTCCATCGTCACTTAAAATCTTTTTTATCCTTAATATCGGGAATTGCCGGGTAAAAATACATTTTTTTTTTAAAGTATCGCGACTCGTATGATAATAACCTTAAGAGTCTTAATATGTCTCACGCGCAATGAATTATAAAATCACCTTTTCAATTAATAAGCAATATGAGATTACGTATCTACTTAATGCTAACGTAATTATCGTGTACAATGAGGATAGGGTTTCATTGTCAGGGAGGTGATTGTTTATCGCGCGGCAAGAAGAAAAGCCTTGACGGATAGAAAATAGTCGAAAAGGTAACGAATGAGAAACAAAAACAAAACAAAATAAAAATACAGGGTATAAGGAAAGATGCGGAGATACTACGAAGAAAGCCGATTACACGAGGGCAAAGAGACGTGGCTTTAAATATAAAAGACTCGATGAGTCCCAAGTATAGCTCGAGTTCGCTCGACCTAACCTGCAAACCCTCGTACTTTCTCTTTCTCTCTTTTAGCGAGGATCGCTTTAGCCAGAAACGTTGAATGCGCACCAAAGCATGAGATAGGGAGAATGTGAGAGTGAGAGAGATAGTCTCTCTCTCTGTGTGTGCGTTCGTGCGTGCTTGTGTGCGCGCGTGTGTGTGTCAGAGAGAGAAATAGAGAGAGAGAGAGAGAGAGAGAGAGAGAGAGAGAGAGAGAGAGAGAGAGAGAGAGACCGTGACTCACTAAAA